CCTGTTGAACCTCGCCTGGCTTGTCCGAGTTGTGCGTAAACCGCAAGTGTAATTATTTAACTTTGGCCCGCAAGCCTGAGCGAGAAACTCCAATCCTTAGGCCCAGACAGTCGAAACCCGATGTCCTGCACACTTAGAGGTAATGAAGCATTTAATCCGGAATCCTGCATATTTCGGCCAACCAAGGAGCTCTGCATGAGAGGTTCTCATGCGATGTAGGAGTCCGAGTTTGTAGTAGGCGGTCGAGATAAAGGCCTCAGGGCTTTGTGATTGGAATGTGGGTTTCAGGACGGTTGTCCACTTTTGTTGACAGAGACTAGGAAATGGTATTGACCAAAGGGCAAGTTCACACATTCCTTGGGCGTCTCTCCAACAGGTGTTAGCAGCCTCCGCAAGTCAGATCTGGCAGGCTTAAGTCTGAAAACCATGGCTTCTGAAGCCTTACTGACAGTGCGACACTGGCCAAGTTCAAGGACCGACATCATGTCCCAAAGCTCGCAGGGTCACATAAAACGCTGATCAGCGATGCCTGCAATTGTTCACTATCTAAATCCTACCCTCTGCTGGAGTATCCTTGGCGACATGATGTGGAACGGATGGCAACCTTAGAAGGGATGAAGAGCCATGGTCACGACGGTTAAAACAGCAGTAATCGCAATTACTCCTATTTTTGTGTCTGCCATAGACTTACTCAACCTGTCGCAACGACTCTTCCTGCTGTAGCTCTTGAGGCGAGATTGCGGGTCGGCCGGCGTTGATGGCCGCCCGGCAAGCAAAAGCCCCTGCACCTGCAAACTGTGGAGAGCGGAGCCCGATAATTCGATCCTTAGTGGGGTTGGGTGGCAAGGGAGCGGACCAGTCAACTTAAGTTACTTTGTTTGCCATGAAGGCCACAGTTGCCACCAGCACCGTTTACAATGGCTCAATCACAGATGGATTCTTGCAACAGCGAAATAATATGAAATAATCACAGTGGGATGTTGACTGTCATGTCATGTCCAGCAACGTCTCTGTAACATCTGCCACTTGCTGTTGACCCTTTTGGGTTGTGGCGGTGGCGTGGTCGTACGGTGATCCGAAGGCCGAGCGCGGCCGAGCGCAACCGAGTGGCCCAAGCACCGCCGAGCAAGCCCAGCGGGCCGAGCACAGCAGCCAAGTGCCGCCGAGCGCAGACAAGCAAGCTCGGCGTCGCTCAGCGCTCAGCATGGCTCGGCGCTCGGCGTCGCTCGGCACTTGACTTCGCTTGGCACAGGTGCTGGAAGTCGCGTCCTTGTGCTCGACGTCACTTGGTGCTCTGCGGTGCTCGACGGTACTGGGGCGGCGGTGTCGCTCGGTGGGAAGGATTTCACGACGAGCCTCCCGACGCATTCCCACTTTGCTTGGATGATGGAGGTAACGTTGAGCACAAGGATAAGACGGAAATGACCATCATCGCAGGTGTTGATCGACAACACTGATTTGGATGATGGTCAGGGCCATGGCTCACACGGCGCATGGAAATATGCCATTGGCTTCGACGGCGATGGTGGTGCTGTTGCGCAGGTGGCGCTGCTTGAGGATGTGGTGATGTGACGGTGGTGACGAGCTTGAGGATTGAGGAGTACGGCAGCGATCACGATAAGGACGATTCATTGTGCTACGGTGATTCTTGCGAGCGTGATCGGCAAGTTCCGGCTCGTTGCTACTTTCTTTTAAATGTTTATCCCTTTCGCTACTGTTGTCTCTTGCTCGTTCATCCTTCTACCATTGTCATGCATCATCCTCGTCTTCATCACGCCCTATGCACCAGCATGGCCAGTATGCTCATCATCACGGTTATCGAGCTTCGGCTACGTGGGTGGCCAAAACCATCGCCCATCCCCTCCTGCGCTGTTTTCAAAATTTTCTCCTGGACGTGTTGACTTCGATCACAAATGCCGACGGCACAGAAAGTGTGAGTGTCAATAATCATCTCGACCTTCACTAA